TTTGCTTAAAATGGTTTGAATGAGTCTGAACATAATGTCGTATCGATTGATCCAGACGGTTTGCTAAGTCAATTAGTTTGCTTATTGATAAAAAAATAGACTTATCTCCTTATGAGAATAATCGAGATAAGTGTGTTTGATAGTTTGCATGTGTCTGACTGAGAATAATTTTGAAAAAGTTAGAATTCACATTAATTCAGATATATGACATTTTTAGGAAAAAGGGTTGCACATGTTAAATGTAGAGATAAAATTTGATCAATGTACCTTTGCTTTGTGCACGTGATTTAAATTTTGTTCGTGCATTTTGTTTTTTTGCTCATATGCTTGTCATTTCAGTCGTATAACTTAGTCTGTTAGTGCTCGCTTTGTGCTTAATAGATAGTTCAGTAGTTGTCTTCTTTTATTCTCGCATTGTCTTTTTCGTGCATGCTTGTTTTTGTCAGATTTTGATCAACTTCTAAGTTAGTGGGAATTCTAAGGTTTTCCTTTTCTAGGGGAGATGCTGCCGAAATTTATGCTAAGAGTTGCAGAGTTAGTCAAAATCTTGGGAAGACTTTTGAGTTAGAGTTAGTATAATTTTTTGAGTCGGTAAAAGTTATGAAAGTCTCCCTTGCTAGGGGAAGTGCTGCCAAAATTTTTACTAAAACCAAAGAGTTAGTTTATTTTCAGGTTGCCTTTAAGTTAAAAGTTTTATCTTAAGATTTGGTTTAGTACATATTCTGCGAGCACACTTTCTTGCCAAAATTTTTGTTAATTTTATATTGTTACAAGACATCACTACTAAGTAATTCATCATACGATACGAAGTTGACATTCTTTAACTTGACACGTGGTGCCTGCTTTAGCTTTGTGACACAGATCATCGCTACCTGCAAGCTTTTTCAAAGGTTTTGGACTTCATGAACTTCTGCTATCGCTTGATAGCAGGTTGGTTTGCGACTAAACTTTCTACCTATTTTTGTATCTCAAACCTTAAAACTTAGCCCTGTGGGATTAGGGTTTTCCCTGAGATTTTATCTGGTTTATTTCAAAGGGGCTATTCAAACGGATTGACTGTCATTCAAAGGGGAATCAGACAATGGTTGAGGCTTTTATTGTGAGTTAAGGGGGATTGAGTTACAAAAATTGGTAAGGTTGACTCCATTAGTGCATGAAACGTGCTTTGGCTGAATGTGTGTGTGTGCAGGTATCTATCTCGAAGCTTTATCTTGTCTTTCATGCTAAGATGGTGAATGCTTGCAAAAGGTTGAGTGAGCTGCATGAGTAAATGTGAAAGATGATCTTCCTTGGTTCCCACACAAAGATCTATTTTTCTTGAGTTTAATGTGTATCTATGTGTATCCCTATTTTTCTATCTATCGAGATGTGGATCAGAATATCTGTGAAGGGCTTACTACGGACGTTGGTCCTGGACGTGGAATTCGCGGTCCTTATTCAGGGCATCCAGGTTCTTGTCCACCACAAGAGAGTTCCCCCTACATGATGAACACTTACTCCTCGACCATCGTCGTGCTCTGCCTAAAAGCCAGAGATGCCACAAGGGTTGAACGACTTATCCTTCAACCGTTCTTTATCATTAAGGAGGCATCCTTCACGATATGTCATTTCTGATACTTGAGTGTCGTGCGCAACCCTGAAACTCACGAAAGGTCGCGCGATTGGGGGTAATGCATGAAGTGTCGGCATGACGGTCGAACACGTGAGTATGCATGGTTGAATGTTGTGGCCTCCTTCGCACAGGCATTCATATTATGCATTTTCGTGCGGGCCAGACCCTGATGTACGTGCACACTCCGAGGTATTGGTTGGAACGTTTGCGAAGGGACTTGGCATAGAGAGTTATGCTTGTAGATTATGTTTGTGAAAGAGTGAGACGTGTGGTAGCTGCGATGTCCTAGTCAACCGGCGTAGGGTTGCGCTTGGGAAATCAGCGCCCCAAGTATCAGTTCGCGTATGGATTCGATCAAGCGTGACTGCGTGTACCCCTTATGCTGCAGCGAACGAGAAACATCCTTGGTTGGTTCACCTTTGCGATTGCATGTAAAAACTTCCGTACTGTGGACTCGTAGCTTGATGGGGATACGCCCACCCAAGGGATGGTGACAACTCCCGTGGGTGGAGGTAAGTTGTGCCTCACGAGACCCTATCCTGTTGTAGGGACTCATGAGAGTTATAGCTGGTCCACTCGACTGGCACGACAAAGCTCCCAATCTGTATGCAACATCCCGAATCTTGCGTAACGCGGTAGGGAAGGTCCCCTCAGCGGGGTCCATGGGCTCAACAATGTTGTGATCTTTATACCAAAAAAATCAGGAAAAAATAGTAATAATAAATTGTCTGTCAAATAATCGCTGCACAAATTCAGTGTATTTCTATTTTTTGCCGCCCTGAGACCAAGGTCAGACCCCACACTGACCTACTGGTAGACCATACACCTGTTGGAAAAAAAAGGTCTACCGATCCCTCGACTATCTAAAGGCGAGTAAAGAGATTGTTTCACTTGAAAACAAGGTACATACCTTATATTCAAGTTACCTTCGAAAAATGGGTTCTAAAAAGTTGTTGTTAAATTTTTGAATAGAAGGTACCCTCGAATATTCACTCTCAATTTGCACATGTGGAGAGTAGTGGACCGAGGGCCTCTATGAAGTCTACTTCGCGCGAGCTCAAAAACTTCATGCCACCGTGTACTAAATATGTTCTTTTTCCAGAAGTACCCCGCATCTTCTATTCGTACACAAGGTATGTACCTTGCTTTCAGGTTAAGACTGTAGCTTGAAAATGCCCTGAAAACAGTGATAAGTTTTTTTTTCATTTTGTTTCACTTCATTGCCTTCTTCATTAAAAGTTCATGAGCCAACATGACAGCCTGCAGTCCATTTACCTCGTTTTCCTTGGGTCTACCGGACCCCCAACCGCAGAAAGGTACTGGTGGTTCAATTGAAAAGTTGTGGAACGAGGCCCTCTAACGTATCCTCTAGGGGTTGTGAGTCCCCATAATGCATCCTCCACAGACTGTGAACCGAGAAGATTAGCATCGCTCGAGGCGTTGCGAACAAAAAAGATTGTCTACCACGTGGGTGCGGGGAATGCAGCCCTAAGGTAGCCAAAGCAATGAGGCTAAGAGCGCGCATAAGAGAGAGAGAGAGAGAGAGAGAGAGAGAGAGAGAGAGAGAGAGAGAGAGAGAGAGAGAGAGAGAGAGAGAG